AGGAGCAGGGGAGGAGCATAGGGAGAGGGAGCAGGCTCCATGCCTAGTGTGGAGCCCTGACTTGGGGCTGATCTCACAACTGTGAGATCGTGACCTGAGCCAAAATCAAGAATCTGATGCTTAACCGACTGAGCCACCCGGACCCCCAGTACATGGCCATTTTTTGAGCAATCACTGTGATGAGGGCGGTAGACTGTTCTAATTGGCCAGGCTGGATTGTGTGGGCTCAACCACAGACTGAGAATGGTGTCAATGTTGAGATGCTGTTTCCAAAAAGGAAGGTGAATGGATGCTGGAAAAATTAGTAAGTATTTAGTAAGTGTAAAGCATTCTTAGTACATTGAGAAATTTGTGATGCCCCAGGGTACACATATTTAAAAGTGAATTTCTTGGGGCACTTAGTGGTCTAGTCTGGTTGAGTGTCTGCCTCTTGATTTTGGCTCAGGTCATGATTCCAGGGTCATGAGATTGAGCCTTGCATTGGGCTATGCACTGAGTGTGGAGCCTGCTTGAGATTCTCTCTCTCTCTCTCTCTCTCTCTCTCTCTCTCTCTCTCTCTCTCTTTCTTTCTCTCTCTCTCTTTGCTTCTTTCTCTTCCCTACTCTTGTGCGTTCTCTCTCTTGCTCTAAAAAAATATTTTTAATGTATTTCTCTTGTCATAAAGTAATAAGTAAATGTTTACAAGTGACTTCTAAAAATATCCCTGCTGTTGTTCCTGATAAGCCAGGGTGGCAGAAATTAGTTTAGCCTTTACTTCATGTTCTAATGTGTTTGTTTTTTGTGGTTTGTTATATACAGGTACTACTATAACCACACAGTTTGGTAGCAAAAGGATCTATTTACTGGGCCCTCTTGACATAGAGATGTGGGGGGATTCTCGATCTGCTAACAGAACAGGACCTTTTCGGTAAGTCTTGAAATTTGACCATTGAAATTTTGTAATGATGACATTTTTTGGTCTGCCATAAAGAGGAATATTTTCTTTGTACAAAAACAGCTCTTGTTTGTTTGTATATTTATTTAGAGAGAGCACGTGTGCGCACGCGCGCGCACACACACACACACACGCACACACACACACACACACATACACACACACACACACGAGCGAGCAGAAGAGAGAGATCTCAGTCAGGCTTCATTCATGCCCAGTGCAGAGTCTGACTCGGGGTTTCGTCTCACAACCATGAGATCATGACCTGAGCTGAAACCAAGAGTCAGACATTTAACTGACTCAGCCACCCAGGAACCCCTAGAAATTTTTTAAATAGTTTCTGTTATTTTTAAAAAACCAGAGCAGCTCAGGTCATGATCTCAGGGCTGTGAGTTCATGCCCCCTTGCTGACAGAACAGAGCCTACCTAGGATTCTCTCTCTGTCCCTCCTCCACTCATGCTGTCTCTCTGTGTCTCTCTCTGTCTCTCTTTTTCTCTCTGAATGAATAAATAAACAAACAAACAAACTTAAAAAAAATTTCCGGTCCTTTCCAAAGTGACTGTGAGGTTGAATACCAAGCTTACCAAGTGTTTTGTGTTTTAGTGCCTTTTTCTTTTTTTTTTTTTTAATGTTTATTTATTTTTGAGAGAAAGAGTGAGTATAGGCAGGGGAGAGGCAGAGACAGAGGGAGACACAGAATCCAAAGTAGGCTCCAGGTTCTGAGCTGTCAGCACAGAGCCCAACTTGGGGCTTGAACCCACGAACTGTGAGATTGTGACTTGAGTTGAAGTCAGACGCTTAGTTGGATGAGCCACCCACGTGCCCCTTAGCACTTTTTTTAAATATTAAAAAATTATCCCCTGATCATTATTTTTCTGTTTCTTTTAATAAAGTAATACATAATGTGGCTAAAAAGGAAAGCTAGCAAAAACGTATGTAAACATTTATATATGTACATAAACATTTTATTAATTTCACTAATTTATGTCTAGAATCCAGAGCTATGTTTTGCCCACAGCACATTGTGTTTCAGTTACCAAAATAGTTACCAGGAAAAAAAAATTACTTAATGCAATTTTCTGAGGTACATTTCAATTTTAGGGATTACTGGGTACAAAGAGAAGTTGAGAAAGTAGTACCATTCAGTTAGTAGTAGATTATATTTTAGATTTGCAGGGAGTTAATTTTTTTATAGCCAATATAATAAATACTGATGATTGTATTTTTAAAACCTTTGCATTGTGCTGACGATAAGGTGCCAAAGGAATGTGATTTTTATGGTTTTACTTTGTGTATGGCAAAGAAATCCAACCTTTAAAATTACACATTAAAAAATATTGATGTTCTCTTGAAACTTCTGTTACTAGTAAATTTTCTTTTGGATTGGCAATCTGCAAAATGTATCATGCAAATTCAAAAAGTGTTCTCACTATTCTGAAGCTTGGGATTCCAATGAAAAATTTAGGTTGAGAACTGGGTTTCTTAAATCCATATGATATTTAGTAAAGCTAGTGTTTCATACATACTAAATGATAGGGGTCTTTCTGCTCAGCGGTCTTTAAATTAAAGCAATGGTGGTGATGCTGGGTATGTTTTTCCTTTTAAAATTTAAGGTGTGTGTCAGTGGTCAGTAAATTATAGCCTGCAGCTCACTTTTGTTTTATTGGAACACAGCCATTTGTTTCTGAATTGTCTATGATTGCTTCCATGCCACAATGGCAAAGTTGAATAGTTGTGATCAAGACTGCAAAGCCTAATATCAATACTGTCTGGCTTTTTGTGGAAACTTCACCAATCCCTAATCTAGATCAGTGGGCTTATACTTTAACATTTTTAAATATTTAGATTGTAATTTTTCCTTTTCTACCCATATTTATGGATGACTGTTTTGTAAATAAGGCTGTTTCTTATACAAATTAACCTAATTTAGATTGTTTAGATAAGCCTCAAGAAATGTTGGGTAACCTTAGCTCTATTGCACAACTTAAAAAAAAAAAAGTTTTTAGAACATTTTTCTTTTCACCAATTTATTATTTAAAATTCTATTTCCCCACCTTCATTTTTTTTCCTTCTGTAACCAGAAATCAGTTTTACTAGTTACTTTTTTTTAAAATATGAAATGTATTGTCATATTTCCCCACCTTCATTTTAAATAAGTTATTACATGCTATTTTTAAGATCTTTGACTAAAAGGGAGACATAGTTTATATAGCATAAGTTTTTGGAAGACTTATGCTCTGGATTTTAAAAAAGATAATCTTGTAGGAAAATGATTCTTTCATTTTAACTTCTTACGTTTTATCTTATTTGGTTGAAAATGGCTTTTGTAGTCGCTGCTATTTTACGTTAATAGAACTGTATCTTGCATAAAATACAGTTCTAAGAACCCTACGGTAGGGGTAGGTTACTGTAGATGAATTTGATCTTCCCAACTTAAGAGAGTAAGATAATCTTAGGGCAGTATTCAAAGACAGTGTTAGATGCATTCTGGTCAGAAAACATGTAGATTTAGATGCCTCAGCACCCATAAGTGTCTACTGAGGCTTACTGTAAGCTAATTATTGGGATTTGATGATTTTAAATAAAACACTAGAGTTAGTGGTAATGCATCAGTTTTAGTGCAATACTGTATTATGAAGAACATTTAAACTTGCTTCTCTTATGATGAACCACATAGACATAATTAATGTTAATGGGAGCTGATAGAAATCATTATGTTCTGGAAATCCATTAAATATACATCATTCTCATGTTCAGGTTACTGTTGTTGAAGTCCTATTATTTTAAGAAAGGATTTGGCCTTGTAACTGTTTCTCCTGAACTGAGTGTCCTTCAAGTCTTTCTCTGGTGGTGTAGTCTGTGCTCAGAAGGGTCATATAATAGAACCTATATATTCTGGAAGAAGATAACTGATTTGGACTTGATTTCCTAATATAATACTTTTGTTTTACTGCAAAATAGCAGATAACCCTTCAGATCATTTCATGTTTTCCTTTTTCATGCTCTCTCCTTCCCCTCAAGCTTAGGATCTAGGTATCTAATTGCAGATTTAAATTCCCTTTTACCAAAGCCAAAGCATGTAAAATGGTCTGAAGGTTAGGGAAGATTTGGGTAGAATGAAAGACTAGAGCAGTTCTCATTTATCTCTTGAGTTTTGTAAACTGAGAATGTGAATTTAATATGTACTTTGCTTATTTTTTAAATATATTTTATTACTATTAAAAAATAGCATGAGGCATTAGATTCTGGAATATCAGCTTTTGGGACTTGGAGATAATACTTGAAGGCCTAATGCTCTAAGTCCCTTTCAGCATTAAGCTTCTGGATGCTGTTGCTTGGCTAGGTTGATGTATGAATGCTTCGTGGCATGATTTCATGCTGCCTTTTGTGATACTCTTGGATAGTATTAATATTGGGACCCAGGTGAGAGCGCTTCTAGGTGGAGCCACTGTAGAACTGGATTTTAGATACAGCCAGGGCTGATGCTCAGCTGGTATACACTTGTGTTCTCCTGCTGGTGATATACAGCCAGTGTTCTTTCATTTTGGACCTGCATTCATTCTGATCTAGGTAGTGTCCATGCTGTAGCTGTAATCAAATATTTTGGAATGTTATCCCTGTATGCTGAAATGAGAAAGACACTGCCTAAAATTTACTGTCATACATTTATGGTGCATTGATTTATTTGATGTATAGGAATCATCATGTTGATCTTGGAATTCTAAGTTCCCTGGCTGTAGGAAATGGAAATTTTTGTAGTGTGTCACCATTGCTAGCTTATCTGGTGTTGCGGATTTTCCCTGTTGCAGGACTGGGTGAAAGCTTTTTCTGCAGCAGTCATGTTGAAAACCTTGTGTTGACTTTCCTCGTGTTCTGAAATGGGAGCATAAAAGTTTACTCCGCCACTTCGTCTTAAAATAGCAAAACATTGCTGTTTTCTGCAGATCTAGGACCTTGTTACAGAACTCTGCCAAAAAAAAAAAAAATGTTTGCAGAAGAATGTGCTGTGATTAGAGAAGAATATGCTGGTGTGTAGATTTCAAACTCTCTGGACAATATGAATAACACTGTCTTTGTTTCTACAGTGGGAGCCAAGAAGAAAGGTTTGCTCCCGGGTGGAACAGGGATTATCCTCCTCCTCCCCTTAAGAGTCATGCTCAAGAGAGACACTCTGGCAACTTTCCTGGCAGAGATTCACTTCCCTTTGATTTCCAGGGGCATTCGGGGCCTCCCTTTGCAAATGTAGAGGAGCATTCTTTCAGCTATGGCGCTAGAGACGGACCGCATGGTGACTATCGAGGAGGGGAGGGACCTGGACATGATTTCAGGGGGGGAGATTTTTCATCTTCTGATTTCCAGAACAGAGATTCATCACAGTTGGACTTCAGGGGTAGGGACATACATTCTGGGGATTTTCGGGATAGAGAAGGACCACCTATGGACTATAGGGGTGGAGATGGTACTTCTATGGATTATAGAGGTAGGGAGACATCTCACATGAACTACAGAGACAGGGATGCTCACACTGTTGACTTCAGAGGTAGGGATGCTCCTTCATCTGACTTCAGGGGCCGGGGCACTTATGATTTAGATTTTAGAGGCCGGGATGGATCCCATGCAGATTTTAGGGGAAGAGATTTGTCGGATTTGGATTTCAGGGCTAGAGATCAGTCCCGTTCTGATTTTAGGAATAGAGATGTATCTGATTTGGACTTCAGGGACAAAGACGGAACACAGGTGGACTTTAGAGGCCGAGGTTCAGGTACTAGTGATCTAGACTTTAGGGACAGGGATACGCCACATTCAGATTTCAGAGGTAGACACCGGTCCAGGACTGATCAGGATTTTAGGAGCAGAGAGGTGGGACCTTGTATGGAGTTTAAAGATAGGGAGATGCCCTCTGTGGATCCAAATATTTTGGATTACATACAACCCTCTACACAAGATAGAGAACATTCTGGTATGAACGTGAACAAGAGAGAAGAATCCACACATGACCATACAACAGAAAGGCCTGCTTTTGGCATTCAGAAAGGAGAATTTGAACATTCAGAAACAAGAGAAGGAGAAAAACAAGATGTAGCCTTTGAACATGAGTCTTCATCGGACTTTCAGAACAGCGGAAGTCCACTTCAAGACCAAGACAAGTCACAGCTTTCTGGAGGTGAGCAACAGAGTTCAGATGCTGGTGTGTTTAAAGAAGAAGGTGGTCTGGACTTTCTTGGCCGGGAAGACACTGATTACAGAAGCATGGAGTACCGTGATGTGGATCACAGGCTGCCAGGAAGCCAAATATTTGGCTATGGCCAGAGCAAGTCTTTTCCAGAGGGCAAAACTTCCCGAGATGCCCAACGGGACCTTCAGGTATGTTAATGGAGTAGATTGCTTTTCTGCTGGATGAAGTGTAGAGTCCAGGATCCTTGGTCCTGGGGGGCTCCTGGCTTGCTCAGTCAGTAGAGCATGTGAATCTTGATCTCAGGGTTATAAATTAGAGCCCCAGGTTGGATGTAGAGATTATTTAAAAATAAAATCCTTAAAAAAAATAAACCCAAAATGTATATTCAAGAATGGAATGTACATCTCTAGAGCAGCTCATGTATCTCTTATTTTGCTTTATGGTGCTGATTGAAATGCATTGGGATAATTTAGTTAGAAAGTATGTCTTTGGGAGTTGGTTCTCTAAATTCTTGCTAGTCAGGCCTTGTGGCTATTTAGGGAACATTTTTTTTTTTTTTTAAGTTTATTTATTTTGAAAGAGAGAGCTCATCTGTGCAAGCAAGCAGAGGAGGGGCATAGAGAGGGATAGAGAGAGAGAATCCCAAGCAGGCTCCGTGCCATCAGCTCAGAACCCTACCTAGGGCTTGAAGCCACAAACCTGGAGGTCATGACTTGAGCCAGAACCAAGAGTCGGACAGTCAACCAACTGAGCCACCTAGGCACCGTAGGGTCCGTTTTTTTGTTTAAACTCATTTAGGATATACAGAATACCTAGGAGTCTTCCTAGTCGTAAGGAAGTGATGGTAATATTGCAGGTATATTCTTACAGTTAACTTAATTAACTTAATTGTTGAATTTCAATATATATAATATATAATTTAACGTATATAATCTAAGAGAAGAGAGTTATGTTTGCAGTTGGTTAATGCAAATATTATCTTTGAAATAGACTTTACTCATCTCTACTCAGGTTACTGTTATTTTGGACAGTAATCCTAAGACATGCTAACCAAATGGATTTTGAGAATGTTAGAGCTGATTGACTATATAATTTATCATTCACGATATTTTCAAGAGTAGAAGACATTGGGGTTAAGGCTTTTGTGAATATGGAAAATGCGTATTTCTCTGAATTGTACTGTTAAGTTGTATGGTCAGATGACACCTTTTGGTCTTGTTCTGAAATTTGTTTATAGTTGACATCTTTGACAAATGGCATCTGGTTTAAGAATTTTTTCTATTTTCTCATTCAGGAAAAGAAAATTATATTTTTGAGAGTATATATTTTTTCCTTAATTATAAGTCCTGTTCAGTGTTGTTTCTCTTAATGCTCTGCTTTATATTTCAAGACTCTTCAGTGAGCCTTGGTTTTAGCACACTTGTATACTAATGATTTGAAATTAAATTTTGGAACTCAAAAAAATAGAGAAAATTACAGTTTTTCATACCTTATATGATGCAAGTCATTTTGATTTTGCTCCTAAGAACCTGTATTTTACCTTCACTTTCATTTGCATACTAACATATACTCATTTCTGAAATAATCTTTTATTGTGGATTCAAGGATCAAGATTATAGGACTGGCCCAAGTGAGGAGAAACCAAGCAAGCTTATTCGATTAAGCGGGGTGCCTGAAAATGCCACAAAAGAAGAGGTAAGCCTCTTTCTTCTTTTTCCTTTTTTTTTTTCTGTCAATTAAAAAAATGTTTTTTGACTTTGTATTTTGAAAAGTTAATAGATTCATAGGAAGGTGCAAAGAAATGTACATGGAAGTTTTGGGTGTCCTTCCTGCAGGGTTAACGTCTTGTATTACTACAGGACAATAGCTAAACCAGGAAATTGGCTTTGGTACAATCCATAGAACTTATTTAGGTTTCAGCAGTTATATATTCACTCACTGAGGTGGGGTTTGTTAAAAACAAACAAACAAACAAAAAATTTTGACAAATAATTGCTGTCCTCGGACCTGATAATCATCCTTTAGGGCATAATCTAAGAGGGAGGATTGGATTGCATACATAAAGAGGCAGTTTATTTACAACAGTAAGAACTGGGAGCTGCCTAACTCTTCATTGTTAAAGGACTGGCTGACTAAATTATAGCTGAATTTACAGGGAAATCTGGTCAGAATATTACAATAAGAAGAGCAAACTGCTTACTCTGTGCCAGGCATCACATGACGTCTACACACATTAGTTCTTTAATTATCACAGTACCTTATGAATAGGTACTCTTTATTCATTCCCTCCAAATATTAAGCATATGCTGGGCACTGAATAATATAGCAGTGGATATTGTAAAGTCACTGCCTCCATGGATAATAAAAAAGTAAACAAAACCCCATAATTTCAGGTAGTGATAAATGCTCTGAAGATAAATAAAGGTGTAGAGCGTAACTGGGGTAGGGGCTGTTTTCGATCGGGTATTTGGGGAAGGCATCACTAAGAAAATGACATTTGAGCCAAGCCTGACTGCTGGGAGAGAACAATCCATTTGAAGATGAGGAAAAGAACTGACTAGGTGTGAGGGAGTTAAGTGCCATGGCCCTCTACTGACTTGAGCCCAGGGCATCATCTTCTCTTTAACAGATGAGAAACTTGGCACTGAAAAGTTACACAGCAAGAGAGCAGGAGAGGCTTGAAATGTAGGCAGTCTGATTTCAAAGCTCAAGTTCTTGACAGTTAGGCTCTTTCTGCCTTTTTTACGTACTTAGGAATTTTTTTTTTTAATTTTTTTTTTAACGTTTATTTATTTTTGAGACAGAGAGAGACAGATCATGAATGGGGGAGGGGCAGAGAGAGAGGGAGACACAGAATCGGAAGCAGGCTCCAGGCTCTGAGCCATCAGCCCAGAGCCCAACGCGGGGCTCGAACTCACGGACCGCGAGATCGTGACCTGAGCTGAAGTCGGCCGCCCAACTGACTGAGCCACCCAGGCGCCCCAGGAATTTTTTAATAATTATGTTCTACTCATTAACAGTTTTGAGTGCCTAGAGTATGCATGGGTTAATTTTGCCTTTATAAAGTAATGATTGCTTTAAATTATATAGAATAAAAACAAAAAGGGAAACTTAAATATTCAGTGTTAGATAATGATTTGTGTCATTAGTGTAAACACCGTATTCTTGCAGATTCTTAATGCCTTTCGGACTCCTGATGGCACGCCTGTAAAGGACTTGCAGTTGAAGGAGTATAACACAGGTGAGTTTCTGGACATGCATGTGGCCTTGGGTTAGGAAGGGTATTTGTCAGATCTCTGCATCATGTGCTACTCAAAATTTTTTTAAGAAACCACAGTTAAGATTTCCGGAAGCCTCCTGTTGATGTCTTCAAATAACAGCCAGCTTTAGTCTTAGCTGTGGTTCTTTGTGGCTGTTTGTCCACACATGGGCGATGAGGATGCATTGTTCCAGTTCTTCTGGGTGCCTATGAGATCTAAAGTGAGTGTTGTAGCATTTACCCCTGAATATATTTTATATAATCATTAAACTTGCTATTTATGTTCTTCATGGTGGTGGTGTTTTTATGTATGAGCCCATAGGATTTAATGAACTTACTGTATTTAAAAATTTATATTTCATTGCTTCAGCGTGACATTTACAACTTTCCAGAGAAATTGTACAAATTAGTGGTTTCTTGAATTTTCAGTCTTGCTCTGAGAATGAAGTCCTGCAACAGCTGTTTTGTTGAAATTCATGGATAGATCCAGAAGAGCTTTCTCTTTGACCTCTGCTCTGTGGTCTGAACTGCAGATTAAACTTTTCATAATATCCTCCTAGTGTCTTAGAGTGCCAAGTTTGGTCAGTTCCTTCAAATCTTAATACATTACAGAAAAAGTGGAAGTGAAATGTTAGGCATTCAAGGTATCGACTGATATTTTTAGGTTACATAATATGAAATGATTTAAATATGAAAGTAATCTTTAAGTGATGTCTTTTGCAGAATTTTCAATTGAAGAAAGTAGACCATTAATCTATTTACAGAATTTTAGTAATCCAAATTTAAGAACTCTTCAAGAAAGAGTATGCTGTGTTTTGAGGATATAGTTTACTTCTAAACAATTTACATGCAATAAATTTTTCATGTTAACTAGGTAGCTGCTTTTTCAGTTTGGTTCCGCAGAGGGAAACTATCCATAAAAATAAATTTTTGTGCTTGAAATAATTTGATATTTGTGTCATGTCTAGAAATAGTTGGTCTGTAAATTGAGAATAAACTCATAAACGTTATTTTTTAGAAAGCTAATTATTTTTTTGTTTTAAAAGCATCAATTCTGAATTTGTGGAGACAGAAGAGTAGTTATGTTCTTACACATTCACACATTCACGTCTTTGTGTGTGTGTGCGCGCGTGCGCATGTCTCATACACACTTTATTCATTCACTATTTAGGAACTAAAAGAATTTATAGGCTGCAGTTATTTTTCAACTGACAGCAGTAACCTCAGCTTTGGTCTTGTTTCCTTAATTGTGTTTTCGTTAAGCATTGGTATATTTGGAAAGGAGATGTCTTGATGTTTAAATAGCAATTTAAACTCTTCATTTCTTTACTACTGACTGAATTTATATATTGTCAGATTTATTAGCAGAGTAATGCTTATATTAATGTATAAGGTCCATAGAAGTTCTTAAATTTGCTTACTGTAGTAGCTGTTAGAGTAATAATTGGCAGATGTAAGACATTAATGAATACTCATGTAAAATAATTTAAGACAGTGGTTAAAAAAAATCACCTTTCAGGAAATACACTCTCTTCTTGGCATTTTATTATATGAAGTAATGATGTATTAAAAGTAGATACATGGTTCTTTTTTTTTTAAATGAGGTAATTGGATTATTAGTCCCATGTTATCCATTTCTTCATGGCAAGTAGAATGAAATTTTGAAAATACCTGTCAGATCGTGTTATTACCATGCCAGAAATCGTCTAAAGGCTTTCCATCTCACTTGCAAGAAATTTGCAACTCCTTGTTCTGACTTACAGAATCCTGCATGAGCTGGCCCTTAGCTGTTTGACCTCATCCCGTACTGCTCTCCACCTTTCTTATTATGCTCTAGCCACACTGAGCCTTTCTCTAGGCTTGACCAAATACAGACTTCTTTCTCTGTCAGGGCCCTTGCACTGTTCTCCCCTCTGATCCTCACTTGTCTTCTGGGATTTAGTTCATGGCTTCAGTTTCACCTCTCAGGGGCTTGCCTCACTATCTACTCCAAAATCACTCCTTAGTTATTTTCATCATATCCTGGTTTGTTGTCATAGGATCTATCACTTTTATTTTCCAGTGGTTTTGTGTGTCTTATTCCTCCCACTAGAAAGTTCCATGACAGCAGGAGCCTTGTCTGTCTTGTTCCCTCCTGTTACACTTGCCCACTGTGTCTGGCACTGATGCGTTCTCAGTATGCATGGAATGAGTGAATATCTGTGAAGTATATAGAGAGCAGCTACGATCTCCTCTCAGGTGATCAACAGTAAAGGGTCATTTAGGTTCCATAGCAATGCAGTCTTATATCTGCTGAAGAATATGCCTTGGAGCAATCAGATGTTTTAAGAACTTTAACAGTTGCTTGTTAAAAGACTGTATGTGTATTTTAGCAGAAAAGGTGACTTTTATGAATGGCAGTTAGTTTTTTTAGGTTGTGTGATAACCTGCAATGATCTTGTGGGATGGACATTGCTCATAAGGGGACTGTAGGGTAGAGTTGGTCCTTTTCACTGGTGTAATGGGGCGGGGGGGGGTGCAGTCTGTAACAGAAAAAAAGATTAATGCCTGCTCACTGACTTTAGTAATTATCAATTTAATTTTTGTTTCATTTAGAGCTGTGTAAGTACGGGGCTACAAGTTTTATCCAAAATCTGTGGGATCAAAAGTCAAAATCGTAACTTTTTCTGAATATAGAAAGATAATGTGGTACGTAGATCATATATGAATTCTATCCCCCAGTGGGATGTATATCAAACATAGTAATACTTCAAAATATATGAATATTCTCACTAAGGGGACTGACTAAAGACAGTAAAGGACTCAGTATAGTTCTGGTCAGGATTTGTTTCCAAATGACTTCACATGACCTGAAAATTTACCAAAAACCTTGATATTTAAGAGATCTTGGGCTTTTAGAATTGCAGATAAGAATTGTGAACCTACATAATGTTGTGTATATCTGAGGTTTTTTGCCATTTGTAAATATGTTATAACCCCATTAGTTGTAAATTACCTTGAGTAACATTACACTCCTGGAAAAAGTATCAGGAGTGACATGTGTTTTGGTGACTGGATGAATAAACTTTGGTATGTACATACAATGGAATACTATTCAACATTAAAAATGGATGAATTTCAGGTATTATACTAAGTAAAAGAAATCAGATTCAAAAGGCTACATGCTGCATAAAAAGGAATGAAATACTGATACGTGCTATAACTTGGATAAATCTTGAAAATATTGTGCTGAGTGAAAGAAGCTGGACACAAAAGAGCACATACTCTCACATGATCCCGTTTTTTTAAAGTGTTTATTTATTTTGAGAGAGAGCGCACAGGAGCGGGGAAGGGCCAGAGAGAGGGAGAGAGAGAATGCCAAGCAAGCTTGGCACTGTCAGTGCAGAACATGATGTGGAGCTCAATCCCACAAACCGTGAGATCATGGCCTGAGTCTAAATCAAGAGCCGGAGGCCTAACCGACTGAGCCACCCAGGCACCCCTGATATGATCTCATTTATATAAAATATCCAAAATAGACATATCTGTAGAAAAAGAAAGCAGAGTGGGTAATTTAGTTGTTACCAAGGGCTGGAGGAGGGGAAATGGAGAGTGACTGCTTAATGGGTATAAGGTTTCCTTTTGGGGTGATAAAAATGTTCTGGAAATAGATAGTGGGGATGGTTATATAACGTGAATGTACTTAATACCACTGAATCGCATACTTTAAAATAGTTAAATGGTAAATATTATGTTATATGTATTTGATCTAATTTTTAAAAAGACTGTATACAATATGATTCTATTTCTGTGACATTCTGGAAAAAACAAAATGATAGGAATAGAAAATCGTGGTTGCCAGGGTGTTGGGGGAGGATTTGGAAAGTAGAAACATGGCAATTTTGGGGCACAATGGAACTGTTCTGTATATAGGTTGTGGTAGTGTATCAATGTTAAATTCACCGAAATTGGTTAACTACTATATCTAAGGGAATTTAAATAAGAGTAATAAGAGAATATCCTTATTAAGAAATAAGTCGCTGAAGTTTTTAGGAGTGAAGGACCATGGTGTATACTTTTTTCTCTCATGTGGTTTAGAGAAAAATATTTGATGCATATGGAGAAGGGAGGAAGAGAATAATGATTAAATAGACACAACAGGATATGTCAGTAGCTGAGTTTGGGTAACAGGTGTATGCATGTGTTTGTGCTATTATTCTTGCAACTTTTTTGTAACTTGGAAATTATTTTCAGTGAAAAGTTGAAAAACTGATATGCAACTGGGGTGCCTTGGGTGGCTTAGTCAATTAAGCATCCTACTTCGGCTCAGGTCATGATCTCACAGTTTGAGATTTTGAGCCCCCTGTCAGGCTCTGTGCTGACAGCTCAGATCCTGGAGCCTGCTTTGGATTCTGTGTCTTCCTCTCTCTCTACCCCTCCCTCGCTCATATTCTGTCTTTCTCAAAAATAAAACGTTAAAAATTTTTAAAAACTGACATGCAACTGATACATTTTATTGTTAAATGATTAGAAATCTTGCAAGATAAAGACTACAGCGAACAGCTTCTGTGAACAATAGAGCAGTGGTTCTCCGAGTGGGTGCTGGACCAGCAGTGTCAGCACTACTTCAGACCTTGTTGAAATACAAATTCTCAGGCCTCACTTTAGACCTGCCAGATGATAAACTGGGGGTGAGGCCCAGCTATCTCTGCTTTAACAGGTGTTCCACTTGATTTCGATGTGCCCTGAATTGTGAGAACCACTGCATTAGATTGACTATGTTTATATTCTTTATTCTAGGACTTTTTGGCGCCATTTAAAAGAGACTTAGTAAGCAGGTACACTTTCTTTAAGTCAAAAAGACTAATGCTTTTGTGCTTTTGGAGCCTATGGCAAACACTTGCCTTGTCTGCCTCATGCCAGTTCTGCTGTACTGAGCTGGGGTGGGAGCTAGAGTAGGGTTGATGCTGTTTTATGACCTTAGTTGTACTTTCTGTTTATGT